CTGCACCATCACCCATGTCATGTCCGACCTCTTCCTATCAATCATGTGTCATGTCCTTCAAGATACATGATACAAGTGTAACCTTGTCCCCCCTCGGGACATCTATTAGTGCGGAATGCGTTTGCAACATCTGCCAACCATCTAGTACTCGCGATGGGGTCCCGAGCCCATCATGGTAGTCAGGAGCTCCACATGCTCTGAACTCCCTAAAAGTCAGTGTGTGCGAACCCATCATGGCCGCTAGCTTAATGAGGAAAGCACTCAATCTCTTGTGCAAAAGCTCAAGAATCCCTTCCTTGATCGTGCCAAAGATCACAGGAGTCTGGTCTAGTATGTTGCGTGTGATCTCTAAGGAGATGAACTCCCTATTCTGCTCATTTAGTTACTTAGCTCCAGACCCTGAGCCTGATCCCTCACTGACACTTAAACTGCCAACTACTAATCTAGGGTGTCAAACCACCATTCTGAAAAACACATCATAACAAGCATTGGAATACTAAACATATCTCGAGGGATCACATACACTACAAGTTCCCTGGATTCATCCCAACATTCATTGACCCGAGTACGGATCCTTTTCTTTCAGTAGTACGGGCCCATACGACCTTCCACATCTATCCGTACTTTCCTCAAGAACTGCCTCGAATTTACCAAGTCCCTTCTAATACTAATGCTTCACGCGCTACTCCCATCCTAGGCTTGCCCTAGGGTAATCACCATTCAACTCTTGGCCATCAGCTGCATAAGAAGTCCCTGCTATCTTCCCGTAAATAGCTCGCAAATACTATTACATATCACTAAGACTAGATAATTCTTCGAATGAGAGGTTCTACCCTACAATGGTTAGACTCAAACGAGAGCTGCGGAATAAGGCTAAACCTAACCTTCTGAAATTATTTAGTCCTTGCAATATGTAAGTTAACATATTCGTTTACTAGTTAGTAAAGGATAACTAGAACGCCTAAAAGCACAAAGCAAGCAACATTCGAGCATTGAGTAGACTTAATCAAGCATATTCTAATCAGGCCATCAAACTGACTAATCTATACTAGCATGTAGTTCATAAAGTTGATACACATATAACACGCACATAAGGCATCCTTCCTAGATCCTTTATCCTAGTCTAGCATGCCGTTCTCATAAAACGGATAAACATGTCATAACATAAACTTGCATGGGTAAATTGGGAGTACTTACTTGAGCTCAGTTGATTGCATGCACCACACCCTTTTCTCTTTTTCAAAATCCCTTTCTTTTTTCTTTTTCTAAAGTTCTTTTCTTTTCTCAAAAATCCTTTTATAAAAATGGTTTTTCTTTTGAAAATTCTATACCAATTCCTTAGTATGAGTTCAGACACACCCGAAAATGTGCCTAAAAACATCAAACCAAGGCTCTGATACCAACTTCAAACATCCCAAAAATACAATCCAAAAAGTTCGTTTTTAATTCATTAATAAAACCATAAATAGTATTATCAATTAAATATCTTAATACATGTGGCTCAAAAACATCTCATAAACTATCAAAATATAATAATGTTATCTCAAATATCAGACTAATATATCCCAAGCTATAGACTGTGATGTGTGCCATGCGATCATCCCAATCCCTTCCCTTTGCTAGTAGAAGTACTTGAAACCAAAACTAAAAACTGTAAGCACGAAGCTTAGTGGGCTCCCCCAAACTACCACATACCATACACACAACATATAACAAATAACATAACTTTGGCACTACTCCTAGCTACATCGGGACGAACCTGAAATCGGCTTACCCAACATCGGACTCCTATCTGGCATCGGGTCACCCTGGCATCAGACCATGTCTTGCACCGGACCCCGCCTGGAATCGAGCTTGCCCCGACATTGGGTTCACCCTGGCATACACACTGCATAAAATATATCATAAACACATAACATAACATATACCATACATCAGGCTTGCCCAGACATTGTGTTGTATTTGGTGTCTAACCCATAACTGTAACGGATATGTACTTAAGCCGATAGTAGCATGGTCCTTTTGGGTTGCCTTCACCAGTGCAATTTGATAGGATGGATTTTTGAGAATAAGGTTATTTGTGATTTATTAATATATTAGAAGTCTAATATATTAATATTATTTAATTAGTATTGATCAAGAATTAATTTGGAATTAATTTTGTGATCAAAAGATACTAATTGAATATATAGGGATTGATTATGTAAATCAGTGGTTCTTGTAATGTGGGCCAATGATTCATTATTATGGGCTAAACTAATCCATGGATAGTCTATGGAGGTTAAACCCATGGAGCATCAGAATTTGGAAAGTCATGGGTTATTAGGGTTTACAAAGTGTAACTCTAGCATTTGCCACATTATAAATAGTGACCCCATAATCCAAAATCGGCTACACACTCGTTGGAGTCAAGTATCTTTGTTAGGCGTGTCAAACCCAACAAATAAAGTGGTATGATATACTACAAAATAATCCCATTATATTGCACCAAGACGTAGTACAAAGCAAGTAGGGTCGATCTATAGAGACATGGGACAATCGGTCTAATACCTCTTTGCGCCAGGTGCTTGTTCATAAAAGATTAAAGAGGGGGGGGGGGTGAATGAAATGATTAAACAAACAAATTAAAAACATAAGTAATCAGCTAAATGGCTGAATTAAATTCAGAGTTTGTAAGGACTACAACTTCATGTATGACATCTTAGCAATGTGATTCAAAGATGACACAATATTTGTTCAATTCTATCTAAGTTAGTACTTGAAAGTGTAAACAAGCTATAACACTTCCCAATCACCGCATTAATTAACCTAAACAAGCTCTTTGATTAACCCTAACCTTACTAACCTTGTCAAAATAGAGCAAATCAACACATGTCGTGTTGAGTGGAAAATGGTCTTCAACCCTCAATTCCAACTCCAATGTTCGATGCTCAAAACTGCTCAACAAGGCCAACACGGCCCGTGTCAAAATAGGGTAAACTAACACGGGTAGTGTTTAATGAAGTCAACAGCTCCCTTTCTGGTCTACACGGCCTGTGCCCATTCTGCAGTGTAAATCCAACACGGGTTGTGTACTCCTCTATCACTAGGTCCAAACTCAATTTTTTCAACTTTTCCGTTCTTTGCCCAATCATCCTGAAATCCTCACCAATGCTTCCCGAAACCACCCAAAGCGTGTTCCAACCTCTGGTTTACCTGAAAAGACATGAAAGTGTGCAAATAAGGTTATTTTAGAGACTAACACGAATATGATGAAATGCAAGACAAATGAAGAACAATTATGCTAAATAGATACATAAAAAGGGACTAAAATATGAGCAAAAAGGTGCACAAAATGCACCTAACAAATCTCCCCAAACTTAGACCTTTCTTGTCCTCAAGAAAGAACAAGAATTAGATGAAATAGGACGATTTCTAGATGGAAAAAATAAACATAGAGCAAAAGGGACAAAAAGATCCTAAAGGCTAGGAATGAATGCATGCAATGAAAACCACGAAAAAGAAAAATATGTACAAAAGCAATAAAGAAACAAAATGAATCAAAGAGAAATTTAAGAACACAAGTAATTTATCTATGTAAGTACGATCAGACTTTACATCAATGTGGTTCCAATCATTAATACCTAGGTAACCATCCTACTTCCTTCCACATATCACAGACTCCCAAAGTAAGGAAGACCCGAAATGGTGTAACCCAATAATTCAACCATAGTTTTATTTAAACTTCATACCTTAATTAACTTTACGGGCAAAAATAACACAGTCCGGATCTCATATCCTTAAGACTAGATGGCCAAAAATCAGAATCGATGCATCCTTAAGAACCCATCACGGTGAATCAACTTTTGCTGAAACAGTAAGCCCACCCGAAAGGGCCCAACTCCTATGCTTTCACTTTTTCGAGAGCTACTAGTATCATATCACACATTTCTTCATTCTCCAAATTTGAATTTGAGACGGCTTTTGATTTTGATTAAACTTGGATTTGTATCTTCATTTTGAGCTTGAGTTCTTTAATCAACTTTTGAATTTATGATAATTTCTTTGTTTTGGCACTTGAAATTCTGATTTGGGTATTGGAGATGATACTTGTACCCTTTCTTCTTTCTTGATTGTGTAGATCTGATACTTAAGCTCTCTGTTACCATGAGGGTAACGCGTGTCAACAAATAGGTCCGTGTTCTGCGGATCCAGAGTTGTCGATAAAGATTCTTTTTAAACATTCCGATACAAATCATCCTAAAGCTGTTATTATCGCCCGTAAAACGTTTTTTTTCTAATTTTCTAAGGTTGGGGTCTCGAATTATGGTGTTTGGGCCCCCTAGTTATGAAAGTTGATTCTACACTTCCAGCAACTATCTGGTAACCTGGGTAATTTTTTTTCATTTGAGTTCTCATTTTCCCACTTCATGGAGCTATTGTATGTAAAGAGTGTCATCATCTTGTACAGTTTTATTTGAAAATTCATGCATGAATATGATGTAATTCAAAAACTTGAAATACAAATATTTTTGGGTTTTATAAATGCAGAATGCAAGGAAAATGATAATAAGAAAGGTAAAATATTTTTTATAAATACATGCATAAATATGAATATGAACATGAAAATGCAGTAATTTCTTTTTTTGAAAATGCATGCATGAATATCAATATGAACATGAAACTGCACCTAATGTACAACTCTACCCCTCCCCAAACTTAAAGATAAGCATCGTTCCCGATGATTGGAGAGGGCAGAATAACCTCTTGCGGAGGAGGAGGGGGATAGTAGCTGGGTTTTCAGGTCCATGCCCAAAATTCCTCCTCTTGTTTGTGCTGACGCTCTTGATACCGGGCGTATTGAGTGGTGAAGGCGGAAAAACTTCAGGGTAGGCTCATGACATCTTGTTGGTAAGTGTCGAGGCGGGTATGGATCGATTGGAATTGATATGTATATTGTGCGTGATATGATGAGTGCCCAAAATGTTGGGATGAGCTGACACCACCCATGGGAGGAGAATTTATGGTGCCGCTCTGCCATTGTCATCACTTTCTCCACCTTCCTCATCTTCCTCCTCAGAGAAGGAGTCGGGGAAAAAATACGACATGATTTTCAAATCGGTGAAATTATTAGGCCGCCTGAGGTCAAGGATGTTCCAGGTTTTGGGAGTGATGAGAAGTCTTGGTTCATGGTTTTGGCCCATGGTCCAATTGTGGTTCCTGTCCTCCATCCAAAACATTCTCGTGCTTTCGAGCACTGCCGTGGTAAGGTAGGGGTCACCGGGAAAAGGTTGGTGAATTACAGGAAATGGGGCTTGGACTGGAGCACTTTTAGCAAACATACTAACAATAGCTCCACAATATATTTTCCAAACCGTGATGTGCTAAGGCGGATGAGCTTGTTGCAAATGAATGAGCCATAGTGAGGAATGAGGTTATCGTTCGGGTGGGCCATCACATAGATTATTTTGAGCTCAAGAGCGCTAATGGTGCTTCTTTCTTCTCTAGGGATAACAAGTGAAACAATAATTTTGTGGGCCACTTTCATCACAGGGTGGATGAGAGATGAGGCCTTAGCAGAACTTGAGACATAGGGGTGTAGATGTGTAAGGTCAGTCCACTATGTAAGATCACTGTATCCTGGGATTGGTTCATTGGGCCAAAGGTGTTTTCTGTGAGGAACCCAACTATGGCATTGATTTGGTCTAGGGACAAGGTATGATCTTGGTTCTAAAGCTGGAAATTTAGGTCACTGTGGTCCAAGTAGAGTGAAGATAAGAACTCGGTTGTCCGGACTTTGTAACTGAGCTCGTGGACCTACAACAATCTTTGCCATCCAATGTTTTGGAACAACGTGTGGACTTGTTTATAGATGTGCAACACATGGAGAGGTGGAACATGCGAAAATTTATGAATGGTATGAGTGCGCTAGAGAAAGGCCTCAAGTTTAACAACTTGAATTAGGCTGGAACAAACCACACCACCATGTGTCGGATTGGGCGGTGGTGATGGAGACCTACAACGGCGGGCCGATGGTTTGGTGTGTCTAGGTCTTTTAGAATGTTATCCTTCCATATGCAAAAATTGTTCTTGGGAAAAAGAGTCAACTGGTCACTGGTCAAAAAGTCAACTTTTGACGGGTCTAGTCAACTCGAGTTTAACCACCACAAATTCGTGGGAAACTCAGCTTTGAATTTTTTCCAAGTTATTGTGAAGTCCAAAATAACCACAAATACATGCAATTTGACTTTAAAAACACAAAATCCACAATTGAAGAGCTGGAAAGATTTTATCGAATTGTTAGTGGAAATGTGTTGTTCTTGGTGAGAAAGACCTTCTTCAACCTCCCCAAGCTTGCCTATATGAAGATTTAAGCACAAAAACACCAAATTTCTTGGGAATTTTCGGACCTAGGGTTTGTTAAAACCCAAAAATAAACCATGAAAGTGCAAGAAAATGGTGTACTAGATGTAGGAGATGAAGTGTAGAAGATGAAGATCAACCCTCTTTGAAGATTCAAGACAAAATCGTTGAGAAATCAAGGGATTTGAAGAAAAATCGGACCTTGGGGTTTCTTGGGAGAGAGGGGCTGTTTTGGAAAGACTTTGTGGGTGAATAAGGCAAAAAAAACCCTATTTTATGCATTAAAAACCATCAGATCTGTTGCACGAACACGACCCGTGTTGCCACAAGCCAAATTCACACGAACCGTGTTGGGGTTAAAATTCCTGGGAAATGCTGAAGATGACCCGTGTTCATTATAAGGCAAAAATGTACACGGGCCGTGTAACCCTTTGTTTGCCAAAATTATCTTTTCAATTGAACACGACCCGTGTTCGCACAGGCCAAAAAAGAACACGGGCCGTGTACGACTCTGTTTTCCACTTCCCACTTTTTGAACCCAAAAGTACACTCTCATTCAAACGAAATGTTTTTGCATCCCGAGGTCCATTTGATGATTTAAAATCATGTTTAATTGCATTTGGAAAATTAAAAATCAAAAATTTCAAAGAAATCAAAATGTTTTTAAAGAAAAAGAGAAAAATACCCCCGTGTTGCATCGTAGTTAGTTGCCCTTGTTTTAAGTCATTGGCTCGACTTTGCCCCCAAATACGCTTCAGTCATGGTACATGGGGTTCCCAACAATTTCTATCTCATCATTCTTCACCTCAAATCCTTCGTAAAACGGCTTAAATCTATAACCATTGACTTTGAATGTTTTTCCAGTTTGTTGGCTTGTGATTTCCACCACACCATGGTCGAATACCTTTTTTACCACGAAAGGACCAACCCATCTTGATCTTAATTTCCATGAAATCAACTTGAACCTCGAGTGATAAAGAAGCACTTTTTGTCCTTGTGCAAAAGTCTTCTAGGATATCATTTTATCATGGTATGCCTTCATCTTCTCTTTGTAAATCATGTCACTGTCAAATCTTGAATGTCTAGCATCCTTTTGTTTCCCACCTCATCTTCATTCAAGTTGAATTTCTTTATGGCCCATAAAGCTTTGTGTTCGAGCTCCACCGGAAGTGACATGCTTTTCCAAACACTAGCCTATATGGGGACATACCAATAGGGGTTTTGAAAGTAGTACGGTATGCCCATAAGGCATCTTCCACCTTATTCTCCAGTCTTTGCGGTTTGGATTGACTGTTTTCTCCAAAATGATTTTGATTTGCCTATTGGAGACCTCCGCTTGCCCATTGGTTTGGGGGTGATACGCTGTTGAGACTTTATAAGTCACCCTATACTTCTTCAGAATGGCTTCAAGCATCCGGTTGCAAAAATGAGTCCCACGGTCACTTATTAGAGCCTTTACAGTGCCAAATCGGGAGAAAATCTATGCCTTAAGAAAATCCACCAGAACACTGGAATCATTAGTATGGGTGGCTTTGGCCTCCACCCATTTGGACACATAGTCCACCGCCAACAAGATATACGAGAAACCAAAAGATGGTGGAAATGTTCCCATAAAGTCTATAGCCCATACATCAAAGATCTCACATACTTAAATAGGGGTAAGGGGAATTTGATTCCTAAAGCTTAAGGACCCGGATCTTTGGCACATATCACAATGTGCATATAACACATAAGAATCGTGAAAAATGGTATGCCAAAAGAATTTGTTGTCTAAGACTTTTCTAGTTGTCCTTTGGGGTCCAAAGTGACCTCCACAAGCATAGGAATGAAAAAAGTTAAGGATGAATTATACATTTTTTTGCTCAACACACCTTCAGATCATTTGGTCATCATAATACTTCAAAAGGTAAAGCTCATCCCATACGTATCGCTTGGCCCCTTTCTTGGTTTTATCCTTTTTCCAACGGGTGGAATCTGGGGTAAATTGATTTGTGACCAAGTAATTGACAATATCTACATACCATGGTGCTTCTTTGGCTAAAAATAAGTGCTTGTCTTGAAATGTGTCACAAATTGGTATACCATCTTCGGGTGATAAAATGCGGCTTAGATGATCCACAAATAAATTCTCCTTCCAACTTTTGTCCTTGATATCAATACCGAACTCTTGCAAAAGCAACATCCACCGTATTAACCTCGGCTGTGAATCTTTCTTGGTAAGTAAATGCTTTATAGCTACATGGTCTGAATATATGATCACTTTGGTTCCAAGGAGGTACTATCGGAACTTCTCTAATGTAAAGACAATAGCAAGCAACTCTTTCTCTATTGTGGTGTAGTTGTTTTGTGTACTATCAAGGGTCTTGGATGCATAGTAAATGACATGATGAGCTCGATCCACCTTTTTTTCCCAAAACCGCCCCAACCGTGGCATTGCTAGCACCACACATGATCTCGAATGGAAGATCCAAATTTGGTGGTTGAATGATGGGGGCGGATGTCAACAGGTCCTTCAAATGATCAAATGCACTTTTACATGCATCACCAAACTCAAAATCGGCCTTATTTTGTAAAAGTTGGCAAATCGGCACCGTGATTTTGGAAAAATCCTTGATGATTCGCCGATAGAAGCCTGCATGACCATGAAAAGAACATACTTCCCAAACATTTTTCGGCTATGGTAAGCTCTTAATAACATCAATTTTGGCCTTGTCAACTTCTAAACCTTTTTGTGACACCACATGTCCAAGTATCAAGCCCTTGTCAACCATAAAGTGAAAATTTTCATAATTAAGGACTATGTTAGCGTAAATGCACCTTTGTAAGATTTTAGTGATATTTTGCAAACATTCATCCAAAAAAAATTCATAAACGGTAAAATCTTCCATGAAAACCTCTATGATATTTTCGACATATTATGACAATATACTCACCATACATCTTTGGAAAGTCGCGGATGCATTGCACAAGCCAAAGGGCATGCGTCTATATGCAAAGGTGCCAAAAGGACATGTGAATGTGGTTTTCTCTTGGTCTTCTGGGGCAACAGAAATTTGGTGAAAACCAGAAAAAACATCAAGGCAGCTATAGTGAGATTTCCCGGCCAATCTTTCTAACATCTGATCGATGAATGGCAAAGGGAAGTGGAATTTGCGAGTGGAAGCATTCAACTTCTTATAATCAATACAAAACCTCCACCTGTTTTGCACACGGGTATGTACCAAATCCTCTTCAGAGTTTTTGACAACGGTGACTCTGGATTTTTTCGGGACAACTTGCATGGGACTTACCCATTTACTATCAGAAATGGGATAGATTACACCTTCATTCATGAGCTTCATGATCTCATTTTTCACCACCTTCATTATAGGTGGATTCAATATCCCTTGGTCTTCGTGGGTCAGCTTAAAGTCCTCTTCCATCAATATTTTATACATGCATAGTGATGGACTAAACACCTTTATGTCTGCAATGGTCCAACCAATAGCCTCCTTGTACTTTTTTCAAAATTCCAGCCA